CAGTTTGCAGTCTACAATCAGTTCAGGTGTTTCCTCCTCATCAGTCTCCTTCCATTCATAATTCACCTGTGTGTTATTGGCTCCCATGCCAAACGTCAGAGGTAAGTCTTCCTGTAGTTTTTTTATCCTAGTCAGCCTTTTGTTTTATTGTTGAAAATACCAGTAAGACCACTCTGTCAGTCTGCGTTCTGGGTTCAACCCTCCTGCGAATGCAACATAAGTTTGTCTCCAGGTTCATGAGACATTTTGATTATAGACAAACACACACACTTTATTGTCTACTTTTCATGTTAATTGTGAAACTAACTGATTGGTTTGTTCTTTAAAAACAGGGGTTCTCAAACCTTTTGAGTTCAGGGACCCCTTACAGGGGCGAACAAGTTCCAGGGACCCCCTCACAACTCTCATGTTTATTAAATTATTTTCTTAAGTTTGTCTCTTTAACGCATCGGAAATATTTGTGTAACACAAATTCTCAAGACCAGTTCTTTGATAATGTTTATACGTTTCTTATACTTTTAAACACGGAGTATTTTTTCATTCAAGACACATTTAATTAACAAAATTTTTAATTGAGTTTCAAAAACCATTTTAAAACTAACTATTCACATAATGAACATAAATGTATTGATACTTCTTCATATTATTACAGAAAGCATTTGACATAAAACTGAACATTATCACAACAACAGTCCACTTTACAGGATTTAATTTATAAACCGATTGATGCCAGAACGCAAATAGCGGAATATGGTTGATGTGATTTTCATGCATTTTGGTGTATTTTAATATTGTTGTTAAACATCTACGTGCTTGTAAAAAATAAAAAAAATGTATTGCGGACCCTCAATCACTTGCTCATGGACCCCCAGGGGTCCCCAGTTTGAGAACCACTGCTTTAAAGCATCCCAAACTTGGTTCTTTTGATTTTAAAGTAGCCGTAAATAAAATAAAAGCTTAAAACTGTAGCAATAAACACATAAAACCAAGCAGCAAATGTTCTAATACGATGACTATAATTATAGCGAGTGCAGGCGAAAATGAAACACCAGATACAGTTTATTTATACCCACACACAGCAGCATGCATACCATGCAGTTGCAAAGAAAAATCTGTAGCTCAAATCTAAAGACATTTTTATGGGAAATGTATTTTTTAAAGACAAGCCAGACCTTTGAAGGAGCAACCAAGAGTTCCCCTGAGTTTCCAGGTGTGAGACAGATGCAGCACGAATGCCCCTCGGGACAAAAACCCACAAGTTACAGATGATTGGAAAAACATGCACTCACTTTGCTTACATATTTAACACATATTCTTTATTCAGTGCTCCACCAAGGGAGTGTCCGCTCCGTTTGGCTGCTCTTTGGATAAGTTATGTTCACTATTTGAAAAATCTCAGCAACGTGTTCAGTCGTGCATCGCTCTGCACCGAGCACGAGGGTTTACCATCAATCATGTGTCAGAGGCGAGTAATTCTATTTCGCACAGTTATCTTCTTTTTAATTATTCATCAATTACAGCTGTTAAAAGAGTTGGAAGCAGGTTGCCCGCTAACTTTCATGTTATTTTCCTTCACGCTGTGAATCTTTGAATTTCAAATCCAGCAGCTTTCGCTCCTGATTCTTCCCCACACATGTCAAAAGGGCTTCTCGCTTATTGGGGACTGCCCTGAGGCAGCACATATTATTATTATTATCCACCTGACAAAGGTTTCTTAACTTTATGTCTTACTCTTCCGTTAACTTTAATGCAAAACGTGTACCACCACAAATGTTGCATCAAAATAACCAGTTCAGCACCGTGATGAGTGCTATTACTTTTATTGGTGCTTTGAGTTACCATGGTCACAGATTGGTTGCAAATCAAATATCCAAGATGGCCACCTGAGCTAAAGAGGGAAAAATACTGTAAATCGACCTTTTTTTTTTTAGATATTAAGCTGAATTTTGGTGTGATGGTAGCTGAGAGCAATGCCCAATAAATAATGAATTTTAAAAAATTCAAGATGGCCACCATAGCTTAAAATAAAAAAAAATACTAACTCATTGATATTTTCCATTTAAAGCTGACATTTGTTATGGTGGTAGCTGAGAGCGAACCCTAACACATAATACTGTCTAATCAAAAATTTTAAATGGGTGTCACATGACAGTCCCCGTCAAAGTTTCTCCAAGAACTTCCAAGTTTTTTTTTTATGGTTTACTTACTAAAGTACGCGTTGAAAGTTTGGCAAACTCAAAAAAGCAAATCAAAACATTTCCCAGGATTAAAACTACCAGAAAATTGTCGCTCTTTTTCTTGTCAAGTGTTTCCAGAGGCCGTTACACAACATGTCGCCATGGGTGGCTGAGAGCAGGGAGAGCTGCCCGGCGTTTCTCACTGACATCATCCCAGGTCCAACAGGGCCGCTGGGTGTCGGGTGGCATTCCGGACAGAATTCCAGGATTCCCATGTGGTGCTGGAAAGGCTGAGCAGGAATTCTGGAGCTTTTGAGGAAGGGATTAGAGAAGAGGTCAGCTTTATTCAGAAGTATCTTCAATTTCAATGTTTTTTGTGTAATCTTTGTTCAGTTTTCCCTCTTTCTTTGCTCACCTCATTCAGAGGAAGGATAGTCATAAGACACGGGTGTTTTTACAGCTGTATAAATATCCGAGTCACCGCGTAGTCTGTAGGGGATATGCTGACAATCTTCTGCATAATAGACTCAAGTGACCCGGCTAACTCCGGTATTTCACATCACACACAGGAAATAGCAGACGCTAAATGAACTAAAACCAAGTTTACTCATCTGTTTAGAGTTAAACCTGGCTAAGGTGAATACTTTTCTCAGAATAGGTGCATTTTCAATGCAAAAGTGACGTTTTTTCAATATTTCGGCCGCCGAGATGCCAACAAACTGCACCATGTTTGGTCATGAAGAAGTCTGCTGATGGTGATTTATGCAGCTGTAACGTTTCCACCGAACTGTTGCTGCAGAGCGGAGGGAAACAAAGTGTTGGATTTGTTAGGAGACGAGACGTGTGGTGAGGAACGCGTGTTAAACAAACAAGTGTGAAGGAGTAGTAAGATTTAAAAAAAATAAAAGGGTTATTCCATTAGCACAAATGAAAGGATCTTGATCAATATACAAATTCATACACACACAAAAGCAGTTTTTATTTACTGAGGGGCTTCATTTACATCTGGAAAATCACCCTTGAGTTGTCTTTTCCTGAGACCCTGCAAATCAGCTGGAAGACAGAAGGAGAAAGTTGGGACCAATCCAAACAACAGAGCTCTCTGTCCGATTTGCTCTCCCAGGTGGTTGTAATGAACATATTTTTCGTCCTATAAGTCACGTTTTTTGCATAATTTGCATGCTTTGCAACTTATACGCCGAAGCGACGTATTTATGGATTTTTTTCCATACTTATAAACCAATTTTTATGCTGAGATATGACCGTTTTCATTCATTCTGACTGAAAATATTGAACACTACCATTTTCAGCCACTAGATGGCACTCGAGTAGTATGGCATGCTGTTGTGTCAGCTTCATTTCGCTGCGCTTGGGTGAGTTTTACCACAGACATGTGGACGTCGTGTTAGCCTCGTTAGCATGATTATTCTTACGGCACAATGGATAGACAAAAACTTTGAACTTAAAAAGTCTGTCCTTCATGCACATGAGTGCAGAGGATCCCACACTGCAGCTATAGGAACCTGGAACAAACCTCCGCAAGTGAGACAGCACCGCAGGTGTCAAATGCTAATAAATAACATTTAACACGTTTCATTTAATATAAGTTAAAGTGCTATGCGTATGACTGTTACTGAATATATGTCACCAGCTCTTACAGCTGTTATGCAATTTTATAGCAAATAAGCCAAAATAAGAAGGTTATGTTCTGACAAAGGAACGTATATAAAACATCAGTATCGGAATCGTTTATCGGCCAAATAAGTTTTAACATATCGGTATATTGGATATCGGCCAACAATCTAATATCGTGCATCCCTAGTTTTTAAGTGTTAATCTTGTTAAATTCTTGATAAAGTCTTCACGTGCACGCTCTTGATTTGTGGCACAACACCGGTCCACATTTCCGGGTTGTCAGCGGTGATGCATAATAGATGCGACGTATACGGCGAAGCGACATATTTATGGATTTTTCCACTTTATTAGACGTATTTGGACTGATGCGACTTATAGGGCGGTGCGTCGTACGACGGACAATACGGTGAACAACTGAACCTCCTCTGCTTGTGTCTGTGTGTGTGTGAGCACCTCATGGAGCTTGGTGACCAACAATGTGGCAAAAGTAAAAAAAAAATAAAAAGCCAAAAGAGAAAAACCAGGAAGACATTTTATTTCTCTTTAAGGTGCTGATGAAGAATGTCACGTCCGGTTGATAGCTGCACCACACAAGACAACTGGAGTCATTTTCTCTGTAAATCACTGCTCCTGTGTCTTCTCGTCCTCATTTCAGTTAAAAATTGCACAGGGACAGTCACACTACTGTCTGGTAACCATTGAGCCTGAAAGGCACAAACACATACTGGTGCAAATATACAATAAGACAAATGTGCAAACGACTGTTTCTGTATTTTTCTGTCTATTTAAGCTCCTCAATGAAAACGGCTTCTATTTCTGAGCTCATGCCAACAGACTGTAAACTTAAAACCTAAAGGTGTTTTCTTGTATGGGTCCACACTTTTTTAAAAGGGAACTGTGGCACAGACTCCACACATATTTGGCTCTCAGACTGGTGGAGGTGCAGGAGTAAACAGCCTCCTTGCTCACAGCGTGGCTGCAAAAACAAAAATAACCCGTTAACTTACAGCATGCACTTTTCTCTCAAATCCATTACAATGCTGGGGGGAAAATAGTATTAAAGCAAACTTTAGCACACCGGTCAGTTAGGACTAGTGCTTTTATTTTGTCACTGTGTCAACCATTTACTGTGGTGACAAGTGAAGGTTTGTGCGATCGATGCTGTGATCAGCACCGAGACATCTCGTGTCATCTTGGTTTGCGTTTCTGCTCCGACAGCAGCAGGTTGTTCAGTTTAATGACGATGTTGGCGAAGTCGGTGAGCTCCACAAAGTCCGAGGTGATGATGTTGACTCCACCCTTCCCTGGTCTCTGCGTCTCAACCCAGGACATGATGGCTGGCAGGTTTCTATGACGACAGAAGGTTTGCATCAGAAGGTGCATAGTTTTTATTTTGCCACAAAAAAACAACAACTGTTTTTCTGTACTTTTATTTCTGCATACTTTGTGATATTTTAGCTGACCATTTATCAGAATGTTCGGCTTATTCAGAGAATGGCTGCAATGAATTTGGGGATTTGTAACTTTTATACTTTTAAAATTATTTAACTTTTATTATCATTATTTTCCTATAGAAAAAAAAAACTCAGCTCTTGGTTCCTTCAAAAACATTTAGGTTGAATTCCATTTTAGTAAACTTGCTGCTACTTTTAGCTTTTAGCTACTATTCTGCATCTTTTAGTTAGCTTGCTGATATTTTTAGCTATTAGCCAGTCTTTGACTTATTTTTAGCTACTGTTTAGCTATTGAAGTCGCCTTTCGCTATCTTTAGCTTGCAGGAAAACTTTTATTCTTAGTTTTGGTTCTTTTTGCTACTTTTAGCCTGTTTTTTTGGTGACGTTTACTTTATCACTAATCATTTGCTTTTTAGCTTTTAGATAGCCTTATGCTACTATTAGCTTTCAGCTAGTATTTCTCTACATTTAGCTTTTAGCTAGCCATTTGCAACTTTAAGCTACAAGTTGATTTGCTTTTTATTTGTGTTTTGTAACTTTGAACTTTTAGCTAGCCTTTTACTACTTTTAGCTTCTAGCCAACCTTAGCAAAAAGTAGTTTATTTAAGTGTACTACAAGTATACTTATTTTACACTAAAAATGAGGAAGTGTACTTGAAATTTACTTTTCATAAACTTTATTTGATATACTTAAACTAGTATAAAAATGTCCCAATTTAGTCCAAACAAGTATTAAATCAGTATACTTCTAGAACACTACAAGTATGGTGTGTAGTATACTTGATATACTTAACTTAAAGTATACTTGCAAAAATAAACTTCAAATGTACTACTTTTTGTTAAGCGCATTGTTCTGCTACTTCTAGCCTTCGGCTACTATTAGCACCTAACTAGAGTTTTGCTTCTTTTAGCTAGAATTCTGTCTCTTATGACTTTATCAATTCAGTCTCAGCTTCATCTGCAAATTTCAACACAGCTTTCACGCGGTATGTCATCAGAAATAGTTTTTACATGAACTTTAACCCAACATTTGAAATGTGTTCATATTTCTTGCTTCTGGTTTTTGTTTTTGTCAATGTTAGGGCTTTATTTCTGCCAGGATCTTTTTTTTTCCTGGCTGAATGCTTGGGCAGATGTTGGAAACCAAATGGCTGATGGGATTTTGAAACGTCTTACAGCTTAAGAGAAATTGTAACGGATACGAAAGGTGTTTTGGTTTGTTGCGCAGTCAGTCTCACGCACGGGGACTCTGCCAGTATCTCTCCTAACACTCGTAAATTTCCAGCAGCGTGTCAGCCACCAGCAGAACAAAACCCGGAAGACTGAATGTTTATCCACAAGGAGTAAGCAATGCCGTTTCCTCAGAAGTGCAGATTCAAGCCCCCTCCAGTGTCGCCAAAGTGTCAATTTGAACATACTCTGCATTGTTTGGTGCACGTCTCTCATTTGAAATGTACTGCAATATAATACCTGGACAATTACACCCATACTCCTCTTGTTCCTGCGTGCACCCATCAAGACACTGACCTTTCTACCAGGTAGTTGCGAAGCCCCCAGACCAAACCTTTGGCCACGGTGTTGGCTCTTGGCGTGAGGATGGCCTGGGTCACATGGAACGACCCCTGCGTGACCCTTTCCTTCATTGTCGTTTCGAGGAACTCAAGGGAGAGAATGGTAAACAAAAGAAAATCTTACTGAAAGAGCTCCTGAAAATGTCTTTGAAGGCATCATGCAAGCGGGTGTATGAGGCTACGAGGAATAAATTAAATAGGACAGAGAAGGGATGGGCATATGTCTTTAATTTAAACTCATAAAAAGGTTTCTAAATCTGAGTCTTTCATTGAGTACTCTTAAAAAGTACATCCAAAAGGCAGACAAAGACCCCAAACAAACAAGTAAAGCAACAATTCATATGCAGTCTGGTGCTTATTATGAACAATCTAATATTCTGTTGAGTTACGGTAACAACTTTGACTTCTTATTCCAAACAATAAAAGCACTTTTCTTTATTCGGTCCTTGTCAGAACAACTTGTGTGCTTTGTGCAGAACTGATTTCCCATTTTGTCCGCTCTCTGATTGATGTTTCAGACATTTTCCTCCACAATAAGGGTTTTCTTGGAAGTGTGTGCATAAGGATGTTACTTGATACCCTTTGGAGGGAAAATCTGAGAGTTGCCGTGTTACCTGTATAAGCTTGTTGGGATCGGTGGTGTTTGCCCAGGGAGCAGGGATCTTATAGCCAGGCCACATGACCGGGATACCCTGTGCTGAGGGGTGATGGTAGAAAACAATAACCTGGAAGGAGAAAAACAATTAGAGAGAATGCGAACACATCTTTAACCGAAAATAAACGAGCGACAATACAAACAGCCGGATATGACCCAACGCTAACGGCATTTTTTAACGAAATGTGTTAAATGTGTTTGTGACGTTTATTTTGATTAGTTTAATTTCTTTTCAGTTGACTTCATTAGCCCATGATGCATCAGTGGGACATGAAAGAACTTTGGCAGCCTGAAAAAAGGGAGAAATGCTGCCCTCTGCAGCTCTCTAAGTTCAAACTCTTACTTTCCTTTCCTAATGACTCTTTCTACCTCCTTCGCCAAGTAAGCCAATAACAGATTAAGGTCACGGGAACAGGAATGATAGGAGGCTATTTGCGCGAGATACAGTAGAAGTGTAACAAAACCCCATCGTTACAACTAAACAGCAGCTCAGTCGTACATTAACAGGCTCGAAATCTGTGTGTGAAAGAGCTCTAGAAATGCAATCAAAATACAACATGACGTGTATCTGAGAGCATGAGATGAGAAAATGTGATGATAAAAGGCAGGTTAGTTTATTGGACAAGTGTTAATGGGATGATGGTCGCCATAATTCCTGCTCAGAGTCTCAGGTGGCAGGGATTACCTGGCATTCATTGGTCTGTTGCCCACACACACACCCTTACCATACTTGTGCATGTTTTAAATTGACTTTGCACCATGCACGAGTAATATAAGGATGTGTGTGTGTTGCACAGTGGATCTCACCTGATATTTCTTCTCCCAGAGGAAGTCCAGAGTGACGTTTTCCACCTTACAGTTGCTGCACAGCTTGCTCCCAAACACTTCCTGGAGCATGCTGATGAGGTAGACGTGGTGCTCTGTCTCCATTGCATAGTAATGATTGAAGTCCAAAAACACCACCTGCATCAGGAACTTATCAGTTCGTCTCCCAACTATTTATTTACGTTTTAAACACTTGGACACGTGGGCTTCTCACCTCTTTCTTGTGCCTGCAGAGGAAGGAGTTAATTTCTAGCAGGCCGTCTCTCACCTTTGCAGACAAACAGAGGGTGAGATCACTTATGGTTTATCACTCGGATAGAAAAAATACTTGAACTCCTACACTTGAAATTTATGGTTGAGAACCAGTTTTGGTACAGTGGCAGACAATTCTAATTCCTGTTTATACTGAAACAAAACTAAGAACAGAGCTGGGAATAACGATCCAATATTTTACATTAAAATGTACTTTTTATGATGTCATTCCTCTGGTTAACTAGACAAAAACATTCATTTTGCTAAACTGTGGTGTACAAAGAATTTCTTATTTATTGCAAGACGTTTATGTGTAAAAATGGCAGCTAATTGTGTGTAAATTATTTCCCCCTCACCTTGTGTCCAAAGAGGCCGTGGATAAAATAGATCTCATTTCCAGGTTCGCCTGGCTTGGAAGATACCCTGAGGTCAAAATAACGAATTCCTGCATCCAGCTGCTCCCTAAATGTCAGATTCTGAAAATGCAGAACATTTTTGTGTTACAGCCGACTGTTAAATCACCTTACCTCTAAATCTGTCAGGTGTAAACTGCAGGATACCTGTGTCATTGACCACTTGACCATGACTTTCTTGGCCAGGACACTGAATAAGGTGGCCAGGTATTTGACATAAGCCTTCTGATCAGGACCCACAGGAGCGTGCACATCCACCCAGAAAGTAAAGGAATCATGAGAGCCTGAAGGAAAGCATTGGCAGGTGAAAAGGGAACACAACCGCTGTCTTAAAACTGCTTTCTTTGTCTCATCTCCCCCCCATTGCATATGTAAATTGTTCCTCAGATATGAAGGCGTTCACATAGTTTTGGAAGACTGGATAGTTCTGGTCAAGAGTCTGGTCATCAGATACATCCTGTGCACATTTCAATTAAGCAAACCTACTCTAATGATTTTGTTTAAGCATATCAGGTGTAACTGCATGGCTCACCTGGCACAGCGATGCATTTGAGCGGCATGGCACTGAGTTGGGAGGGCAGTGACCCCATCCAGTCGGCATTGACCTTGCCAATCCCCGCAGGTCTTGTCTTCATGTCAAGAACCACCTGCCCAAAACCTGCTCAGGATGCCGCTTTCTGGTAACAGATCCTCTACAGCTCCCAACAGGTAACAACAACCACAGGTCATCCTGGAAGGCGGTGAATAATTTATGACATGCCTAGGATCAGAGAAATGCACCGAGAATGGCACTAGTTTTGGAGTGACCGGCATAGAGTCAAGACGAACCGGTCATTTTGTACCCACAGGAAGCTGTAATGACTACAATAATCCTCTTAGAGTGAATCTCCGCTTGTTACACCCTCCTCCTCCTCCTCTCCCCCACCCATTCTGCTTCCTTTGTGCCTAACATGTTCCAGACTTGTGCTGGAACATCATCAAAGCACATAAATACCTGCTTAAATAATAACCTTATTAACTGGCACAATATCACAAAAAAATCACATTCCCAGTTTAAAACATATTTAGTCATATATTTCACAAGATAAAGCCTTATGGAAACATTTCTAAAAAAATATGTGGCTTTTTTTTCTGTGTGTTTTCCCCAACAGCTAATGATAAAGACAAGAAATTGTTGGAAAAGCCAACTTGAGCAAATAACTTGGACAATGTCTTATTATAATCCTGAATAACTGAAAAATATTACATTTATTTTTTTCTGGGCAAAGCAATGTTTGCACATCCTAACTGGTTTCTTCAATGTATAATGTGTTGTGCACATATTAAATGCGTAAGTATTATTCATTGGATTGTTGCAGTCTAATGCATGTATGTATGCATGTATGCACTTTGGTAACAGTTCCTGCTTTAAACGTGCTATACAAATAAATTTGACTTGATTTGACTTGACTAATGTGCATCATTTTCTACATAATTTCTTTTAAATCCATGCAAGTGTTCTTGAAATTGTAATTTTCAAAAAGCTAGTATCTTCTTTTTTTAATGATACTTCACTTAACTCTTTAGCACCATCTGTAACTTGTCTAAATTGGAGGAAAATGTCAGCATAATCCTTTAGAGATTAAAAAAAATCGTAAAAAGGCAATACATCATGAGTTTATAAAGGATTTAGACTTAAAGGATGAAGCAAGACATCAGCCTGTAGTCTGATTCCTGCAAAGATGCCACATTATTTAAAATAAAAGGCATAGACCGTCTGTAATCTCAGCCATGATCATGTAGCGCCCTCTTTAGGTGAGAAACCTGTATTGCACACACTGTGTTCAAAGAGTTGATTCAACGAAGAGGTCTCACTCTGTCCCTTATTCCGTGTCTAGAAAATTCGCGTGAATACTCCAGAAAACGAGCTAAACGTAGCATTTTAGGTAAATACAGGATCTGTCACATTAATTTAAGGAGCTAGGCTGGATTTAATTGTGTTGCAACATAAAAAAAACGGTACAAAAAATGCTACGTTTGTTGACTTCATAAAAATGGCGGATTGTTTAGACTGGAATCCGGTATATGATCAGTTTACGCCTAAATTTTAAGAAAAGCATAAGATGTTAAAAAAAAAGTTATCTTAATCTCCTAATTTTGGTAAATTTCAGTACCAAGTTGTTTTCACCGCCTTCGAGGGACAACAAATCCCACAAAGCACCGCGGCCAATCCGTTCTAAACAAGAGAGGTCGCGTTTGTGTGTCGGTTTCCATGGAGGCAGAGGTCACGCGCGCACAAGTGACTCGTTGGAAGAAAACAAACTGTGAGTTTTTATCAGGAGCCATCAGCAGAACCAGACAACGGCCGAGGAGGAGGGCAACACCCTAAAATGGTGAGTTTAAACCTGGACGCGGGGAGATAAACTGACCGAGGAGCGACATGTTTGTAGTTTAAACATCTTTTTCAGACGAGCTACGAAGCTCTTTTCGGTTTACTACTTCCGTTCAACAAAACAAGGCTGCTCGTTTCAACAAGCAGTTTTTATTCTGTTTAATTTCCCTCCGGCAGGTTAATTCCCACCTTTATTTTTAGTGGAACTGACCTTGCTCAGCTTCCTAATGTCACGTGGTCTTGGCACGTCTTAATTCCTTGTAAATCCCTCTCCTGCAGGTCCGGCTGGTTTATGTAGTCTATGAGACTTGGATATCATTATTACCAAGAAGACATGTAATTACAGTGTTAGGCATGAGCAGACACGTCAAAAATTAAATTGATTATTGGTTTTGGTTCTTGTCGATCATTGAGTAAACAGCAAACTAGTTCACGGGTGTCCAAAGTGCGGCCCGTGGGCCGTTTGCGGCCCTTGGAGTGATTTTGTGCGGTCCACCACTGCAGTTTAAGAATGGTATCATTTTGGCCAGCAGGCCATGCAGACTTTCTGCAAATTAGTTTGTAATTTAAAAAAATATATATATTGTGTTTAGGTTTAACATCAAAACAGATGAAAAACAATCTTCTCATAATGAGCAATAAGTTCCTGGAGAAACTTTGATGGGGACTGCCACATTGCAGCCATTTAAATTTTTTGATTTGAGAGTATTATGTGTTGGGGTTCGCTCTCAGCTACCACCATAACAAATTTCAGCTTTAAATGGCAAAATATCAATGAGTTAGTCATTTTTTTTCTTTTAAACTATGGTGGCCATCTTGGATTTTTGATTTGGAGTCGATATGTGATGGGGAAGGTTCTCAGCTTTAACTAAAATTCAGCTCTGTGTGTAAAAACGACCGAGTTAACGGCGTTTAAATCGAGCTTTCGTCATCAACTTTATTTGTAAAGCGCTTTAACACAGCCACAGCTGAAACAAAGTGCTGAACATCAGTTAAAAACAAATAAAAACAAAGCTACAAAGCCAAGCACACAGTGAACTAAAAACTCAGTTTAAAACATAATAAAAAGATCAAATCAATACCAATAAAAATGACGTGAAATCAAGTCTCGGGTTGAAGGCCAATGCGCTTTGGTGGCCATCTTGAATTTTTTTAATTTATTTTTAATTGGGCATTGCTTTTAGCTACTACCACACCAAATTCAGGTTAATATCTCTAAAACTGGCTGATTTAGAGATATTGTTTCTCTTTTTAGCTCAGGTGGCCATCTTGGATATGTGATTTGCAACCAGTCTATGATGAACGACTAATAAAAAGGGCACCTTTGTTTGCAAATTATGTCGCCATGGTAACTCAAAACACCAATAAAAGTAATAGCATACATCACAGTGCTGAGATGGTCATTTTATTATAACGTTTGAGGGGGTGCACATTGCGGTTCGTGCCGCATTAAATGATGGAAGAGTAAGATATAAAGTTAAGAAACCCTTGTCAGGTGGATAATAATAAGTGCTGCCTTACTAGGCAGTCCCCCAAAATACAAACCTTTGGTTATAATCCAACATTTTTCAGTCAGGTCATCTGGAAATCTTTGGCTATAATGTTTTTATTTTCAAGTCATGGCACAAAGCATCACAAACCTTTACTGATTTCTACCAGAAAGGAGACTTTTGGATAATGATTCATAAAACTTGGACAAATATTACAGCTGATAAAATAATCAAGAGGGAAATTGGACATTTTTTAATGAATATAAAGTGGTATCATCTACATACGAGATGATCAGCTTTATAAAACCTATGAATCTGTTGTAGCGACTGACAGCTGGACCATGTTTCAGAACTTCGATCGGTCCAAAAGACTGATCGACCCCCTTTTCAAAGGACACTTACTCAAATTACGCTTTTGTTGCTGAGAACAGACTAAAAAGAACTTTACAAACACAAGAAAACAACAAACATAGACCCAACAAATCAAATAAATTAAATCCTTTTTAATAAAAAACATAAGCTTAGTGTTTATAAGTTTTTTATTGTTTTGGATCTACAACAATTTAAAACTCTTTCTCCACCAAAATGAGTCAACTTTTGTCCTTGCTTCAAAATATTGTTCACGTTGAGTTAAATTCGTATTTTTGTGGCCCATACGTCCGTTCGTCTTGATTGGTTTCCTTTAAGTTCAATGCCACAAGTTTTTATTTTTCTTGCCACTAAAATCAACAAATTTCCTGCCATCAAAAGTTCAGAATAAATAGTAATGTTGACACATTTATATGCATTTCATGACAATTTGCAGCCAACAAATCAACTGGGAATTGTTTATCCACAATAGAAAGTGCCTCGTTTCAGTTGACGTTAACGAGTGTTTAAGCTACTTTTTGCATGCATATACGCCGTTTTCTTCTTCTTCTCACCCAAAATGCGTAAATCTGAGGAGCTGTTGATCAAGCCTTTATAGAGCCTCATGAAGGTTTATTTCACGGTTTCATGGCGTCACTCCAATCCTCTTGCCAGGCCGGGTGCAGCTTGGGGAAGCCAGTAAACATGTTGGTGATGTAACACCCTATTTACATCTCTCCTGGCCTAATCCGTCTGTGTCATCACCCTTGGGCGTCCATGTTGAAGCTTAATGCTTTGCGCACCTGATGCTCCTCACTTTGGGGAAAAGAACCTAGCATCATATGTGGTCGTGCTTGTTTTGTTTTTTTTAAATGTGTTGTATATTAACATGTTGATTTTTTTTGTTTTTTTTTAGCTTCTGATTTAGCGTCTTCAAGATCTAACCTTTGTGACAATGCACCAAAAAAGATGGTTCTAAACTCCAGGCTCAGTGGATTTGCAGTATAAGTTTTCCTGTTTTGGAGTAGATGGACTGAATGTTTGTGGAGAGAAGGCTGCAGGAAGAACATTCATCATCACAACAGCTGAAGAGGCTTTTGATTAATGAATCGCGCTTCTGAGAGACGATGAATCGCTACACCACCCTGAGGCAGCTGGGTGACGGCACCTACGGGTGTGTGCTGATGGGACGCAGCAACGAGTCTGGAGAACTCGTGGCCATCAAGAAGTGAGTGTTTCACGCTTTTTATATACAATTTTGGTCATTTTCTTACCTTGTCATTAGGGATGCACAATATTGGGTTTTTAGCCGATATCCAATATGCCGATATGTTAAATCTTATTTGGCCGATAACCGATACAAATATTTTTTTCCCGTCTAACCTACTTACAGAGACTACATAGTTTTCTCTGCTGTGGAATTAAAATACCACATTACTCTGCATGGTCTCTGTCAGTTTGGCCTGCTACCAAATGCAGATGCCAAAAAGGGAGCTGAAAA